GGGAAACGCCATCTGCTCTGGAAAGGTTGACAGCCTGCGACTCCTGGTTAAACTCCAGATCTCCTTGTTGTGAAGGGCTTGATAACTTGCGACTTGCCCTCAGTCCATTACCTTCTGCTTACCGAGTCACAGAGCGTATTACATCTCTCTGCAGAGCACTACAGCAGCTGGGCTATGTTATATGCTGCGTCTGTCTTGCTCAGCATTAGATAATACACTTAAGAGAGCTTTCCATCTAAATCAGTGAAATGCAAACAGAAAATTTCTGTTGTTTCAGCAAAGAGGCCAACTCTTAACATTCTGGCTTGGAAACATACATTTAGATATACTTTTTTTTTTGCCTGTCAGCATGGTTATTTTGATGAGGTTTTGTTTTGCATGTGGACCAGATGAAAGAAACAATTAAGACTTGACTTTTTAATTGGTATGGGATGCATTTTAAACAACGGTAATAGACTTTCTCAACAAGAACTGCATGTTCTCTTTTCCCAGTGTAACAGCCTTGACAGAGAGGGCATAAAAATAAAGCCAAATAGCAGCCGAAACGTGAGCCCTGCACTCAGAAGCTAGAAAAATTATTCTAATATGAAGTGCAGAGCAGCTGACTCAGCATACCAACTTAAAGCTATATTTTGGCTTAAATACAACACAAAAGATTCATTCTCTGCCACACCAAAACTCTTTCCAACTTTACGCAAAAATTTCAGGAATCACATAGTGAAAGTGCCATTAAATCCCAAGCTGCTAAGAGAGTCATGATTGGATCAAGATGAACCCTCTAGTCCCAACTTAGTTCACTGGTTCTGAGCCAGCAAAATGTTGAGAGAATTAAAAATGCAGGTGAGTCACCTGAAGCAAACAATGCAGGAGACAAGGCAGGACTGCTCGGATGCTGGAGCAGGGAACAAACCAAGACAAAGGAGAGCTCCTAGCTCCCGGGACGCAGCCCAGGGGTCTGGATTTGCTCAGGAAACTCCCCGGGAAGCTGCACGTGCCCCAGGCAGGAGGCAGCGACCCCGGCACACAGACACATCGAGAGCGGCCTCGTAGCAAGAGGACGCTCCTGCAGTCCCCAGGGGAGCTGCAGAGCCAGAGCACTCCCGAGCGCGGCCCAGGGCCTTCCACCTTCCCTGCTCCGGCAGGGAGCCGCGTTCCCACTCCTCTGTGCCTGGGACACAGGCAGGGCCCTGCTGCAGCCCCCTCGCGAGCGTCAGGGACCCCAGGGCTGCTGGGCCCTCGCTGGGCTCTCCGGCGCTCGCCGCCCCACGGGGCTCCTGCCTCAAACCTGCTCTGCCTCACACATTGCCATAATTCGTGTAAGGGAGGAGGAAACTCGAAACACTCATTATACAGCAAGGACTGTTTTGTTTTCTCCAGCTCACCTTATCTTCTTCATTCAGCTCTCCAAGACTCAGCTATTAAAAGAAATTAAGTAATTCATCAAGTCTATTTCAATTACCTGCTGTTGATAACATCAGAGTACAATTAGCATCTACAAATGAACCAAGCACCAACTGCCAGGTAGGAACAGAAGCTAATTTACAGCGTGGGCAGCCCGCAGGAGCGGAGATCCAGGCTGCCGGCACCCCGCGTGGCTCCGCTCTGCCGCAGCCGAGCGGACGCGGGGCAGGAGCCGCGCCGCGGCCACCCAGGGCAGCGGCCCAGGGCCAGCGCTCCTCCGCAGCGGCACCACGACAAACGGGAAGGGGCTTCTCTGGCACCAGGCAGCTCCTCCCAGCCTGTCAGCAGGATGCCAGGGCTTCTCCTCAGAAAAAAACAGCATTCCTAGACTCAGTTACTTTAATAAAAACACTCTGCAAGGAAACTTAGTTAGGATTTGACCCACGTGAATCCTAAGTTACAAGGCTGTGACAGACTGATGTGCCCTGCTGACAAGGATCCAGACAAGATGCCCAGTAATAAACTATGTCGCTCCTTGCCTAGTGCAAGGCTTCTTACCTTTCCCTCTGACACCTGGATAGCTCTACCCTCTCATTGCCCTTCAGCCTTGGCCACGTGTGTCCCGATACCTTTCTAAGCAGGTTAGTAATTCAGTATGTGATGCGTGACATTAGCATGCAATCTGTCAAGCACCTGTTTATTTTATGAAGACAGACTGGCCAAGCTGGGTATCTAAGCAGCTAGCACACGGCAACCCTCCAGGATCCTGGCAGCAGCTCAGATAATCATTGCATTCGCTGGCTGACAAGTTGTGCTCCACATCAGGGCCTTACCTAGATTGGAGGAGGCTCTGCCTTCAGCAGCTCGGTCCTGGAGGCTCTCAGCAATGTGCAACTGTTCTTCATGGTACTGCTTAGCCCTCTCCAGGTCCTGCATACATCTAGCTGCATGGCCCAGACCAGCATAAGCTCGCATCTCAATGGCCTTCTCAGCCAGCTCCTGGGCCAACTCCAGCACATAGTTGTGGTAGGACATGGCTTTGTCGAAGTTCCTCCGGTAGTGGTAAGCACTGCCTAGGTTGCTGTAGGCTCGGGCTTCCTCCCGCTTGTTCCCCAGTTCCTTGGCGATCTTAAGATGCTGTTCATGGCATTGCACGGCATTTTCAAAATCCCCCATTGCAATGTACACTGCCCCCATGTTGCCCAGCTCCCGTGCCTCAGAGAGTTCATCTTTGGACTGCTTTGCAAGGAGGACGCACTGCTTGTGGCTAGCCAGCGCGTTTGGGTAGTCCCCAATGGCTGTGTACACATGGCCCAAACTGCTCAGTGCTGAGGACGCTGCCTGCAGGGGTAAGAGAGAAAAGGTAAGTACAAGTCCTCATGGAAACAGTCAGACGGCCCCAGCCCAGACCCAGAAATCACAGTCACAAAAGGCCTCTCTGCAGAGACTGCAGGTGCCAGCAGGGAAACCTCCTGGCTGCAGTTTCTGCACTCTCCTCGGGCAGCTTAGCTGAAGGCAGTAGGAATGGGGCTGGCTTGGAAGAGCCAGACCAGGAGTGCTGGGCGATTGCCTCTCTCTGGGGCATACGGCGTGCGGGTGCTGGACAGAGAGGAAGGGGCCGTGGCTGTTGGGAATTGCATCCCGGGAGCTGCTGCAGGGACGGATGAGCCTGAGCCGCCTCGGAGCAGCACTGCCCCACGGCAGCCACCAGCACGTTACCTCTCATACACACCGACATCCACATCCAGTCTCTCTAAAGCAAACAGAAGTCCTGTGTAGAGCAGCTCATGGGAATGCAGACAAGGAACGATACCCAGCTGCAGAAAACGTTACCAAGGAGCAGGGGCCTTGTCCCACACTGAGCTCACGTCCGCGTGGCGGCCTCCTCGCACCGTCGGCCGGGCCCACGGCCACGGCAGAGCTCCGGGGAGCCTGCAGTCCGGAGATCGGGGCGCTGGCCCCGAGCCGGTCACCGTGTGCCCACCAGCACCTGCACGTACTTCTGCTTGGCCACACTGAGCCCCCAAGAGCACGATCCCCGCTGCGTGGGAGTCCTTGCAGCACAAAACCATTCGTTACCAAGCCCCAGACAACCTTGGCACTGCAGCAAAGACAACAGCACTTCAAGCAGCCGCACCCCCTCCCCTGGAGATACCCTAAACAAATACAAGCAGCTATTTGAAATCCTGAGCTCTTGCCATGTAAAAACAACTGCATTTAGCAAGACGAATAATTTGACAGTCAGATTCCTTTGCCTGCTGCATGTGCCTGGACACTGTCTCCTTTTCCACCTGGGGAAGGCAGAGCACATGTGAGAGCACAGGGCACGGAGCCCAGTGCAGAGCCGCGTGTGTCTCTGCCCAGCACAGGCCTCGGCACGGCTGCTTGCTCTGAGCCCTGACCCCAGTCATCCTCCTGCAGAGGAATTTTCTTCGCCACCAGCCACACCTGTGACCCACTTCCCGCAGAGCCATCTTCTCCAAACTCGAGAGCGCACCAGGAGCAATTGCATGGAGATCAGTCCCACGCCACCAGAGCTCAGTAAAGACCCGGTCCACCCTTCCACGTGGGATGGTGATGCAGTATCCCGGGACACTGCACCAAGACGGCCCAGCTCCATGCCACCAACAAAGAGGTAGTCTCACCTCTCTCCTGCCCGGGCCGTGCACTCCCATTGCATCCTTAGGCTAGCATTGCTGTTCAGGGAGCAGACCTATGGCTTCGGGCTCTTCCTAGGAAGTCCCTTGTGATCGACTGTTCACATGTCCTATTTGCCAACGGGCAAGATGTTTGCACTATGCCCGGAGACCCGGGGACAGTGTCACTGAGCACACAGCAGGATGCAAGCAGACAGGGTCCCCTCTGCTGCTCCAACAGCACCCAGAGCAGCAGCCGCAGCCTCACTGAGCTCCTGCTCTTGCCCCAGCAGCCGCGCTCGGCTGCCCTCGGGCCAGCGCGGCCCCTGCGCTGCAGCCTGGGCCCTCGCTAGGGACCATCAGGCCGTTCGGACTGTAGCCTTCCAAACTGATGAGCTCCAACAACCCTCCGCGTTTATGAGCACAGGCATGTGAACGTGTTGTGCCCTCTGTTTGCAGCTACTACCAGCCTGTAGGGACACAAAGTCGCAGCCATTTTCCATGGCTCTTGTTCTTATTGTTCCTGCCAAGACAGGCTTGGTCCTGAGGTAGAGGAGAACTGAAACACATGCCAGAAGAGATACTGGGAACATAGTTAGTTAGCTGAAGAAAATAATGTGAATTGACCTAATTCAGGCAAAAAGCCAGCATGGGTCACAGATCTTGTTGAGACTCTTGGAATCGCATCCCAAAGGACCCACTGCCTTTATCCATGACACTTACTCAAGACAGAGTCACCAGGATGGAGAACTTCACCATGTACTCTCATCAGATATGCTCTTGCATGAGTACAAAGGTTTTCCGGTTCATTTCTGGTTCACTTCTATTGAGCTCATTTTTCATTTACACAGAACCCACCATTATTTCACGATCAGCCTTAGAGATCTACTGATTTATGTACTAATGCAAATTTTACACCCAAATACAGCAGATGTCATCATCACTCAAAACCGCCTTCTGTGGCAGGGCTACAAGCAGCTTTCCCCTCGCACGGTATGCTTTTGAGAAGAGGAGAGGATGCAGGAGGCAGGATTCCCCTCCTGGGTATTATCTGCATGCAGAAAGAAGGAACAGTGATGCTTTAAGGTAATTATCTCCAGAAAAAAATGCACTGGAATCAATATCCCTGTCAAATCCAATTTATCTCTCTGTGGAAGGTCTCAGTCTTTTACACAGCAACCTATATTTCCAGCAAGCCTTGCTCTCCAGGAACCCGTATTTCATCCCTGATGGGTGCAGGGGGAAGCGCTGCAGTGCGTACACGCCAGAGGACGAGCACCGTCCCCGGCCCAGCGCCTGGCTGGTACCTGGGGTACACGGCCCTCCTCGCCCTCCCCACGAGGGCGGCTCCAAACGGAGGCTTCGCGCCACCTCCAGCCCGGATGGAAGCTCTCAGACGAGCAGGACCCGCTGCCAGCAGCTCCGCACGTCTCCCAGGCAAACCTGCCCTTGCAGGCGGCTCGGAGCAACGCGGAGACGCGAGCTGCTGCGAGCGCGGTGCCAAGGGGGGCTCCTAGCAGGCAGCCCGCAGGGGAAGAGCAGCCTGCCCCAGGAGCACCCACCCCAGCACACAGCTGCTCGGACGCGGCCACCGCGCGGGTACCTAGCGCGCTGCGCAGCTCCGCTCTCTCCAGCGCATCCTTGCGCAGAGGACAGCGCTTCAATCCTGCTACGGAGAATCAAGGAGATCAGGCGGTTTCCCTGGAGCCATCCTGGAAGGCTGCTCGTGAACGGCTCTACAACCTGCAGCTCAGGAAGCACCGACTTTGAAAGCAAAGCCCAAGGAGGGGAGAGCCATGAAGCAACAGCACGAGTCTCCTAATGTCTGGAAGGAACTTTGTAACCGTTACTGGATTAAAGGAATAGCCTGTTACGAGGAATTAGCGACACATTAGAACAATGTCAAAAACACAGTGGGAAGAGACGGCTCCAGTCCCCTCTTGATTAATGGATTAAATCCACAGCTCTGCACGTGCACAGGACTGCCTGCTAATCCCTGAGGCCGCTGTGGACAGTGTTGACATTTCCAACCCTGTCTCTGTTTAATTACACCACAGCACAATGATGCTTCAAGCACTAATCATCCTTCTGCCTGCTTCATGGCAAAAGAATCAAACAAGGAGTTACACGAGTCCAGGCAAATCTGAAGAGTGCCACAGTTTGACTGCAAGGCAGTTCATAGCCTGTGCTTTTCCTGATACCAAAGGCTACAAAGGGAACACTGAGTTTCAGCTGCTCATGAGAAGACCAAAGCAACACTGGCCCAGCAGAAAACAAACAAACAAACAAAAACCACTATTCATTTGATCTCCTCCCTTATTAATTAGAAGCCAGGTGTTAAGGTGTGCCTAGAAAAGCTGTAAAACCAAAACAGAGTAGCCCCATCAGTGGGGCTGAAAATGCCCTTGACCAAGTGAGCACTTTGGCTGGTGGCAGAAGAGCCCGGAGCGGGCGAGATCCAGGGGGTCCCTGTAGCACCAGGCTCCGATTCCCGCAAGAAAAGCAGTAACACAAAACACGCCAGTCAGGAGCACTACAGAGCAGATCACAGCATAAAATCCGAGCATCACCTGGGCCTCACGTACCTGCTCCCTTGGACATTCTCTAAAAGGCCCCTCTATGCAGTCATTTTAGGGAGGATGGCTGAACCGACAATTTTGGTGATGACGTTAGGAACAAACCACAAGCTTCGCTGAGATGGTGACACCGAAGCGATTCGTGCTCTGGAGGAACCCGGTCCTGGAAGAACAAGCCAGCACAAGAAGTCTGGGATCTCAGAGAACCCGGAGAAGCTCCCGCCTGGCTGCCACCCTGTGCCCCTGGGTGTCCCTGCTGGAGCAGGGGGATCGGACTAGATGATCTCCAGAGGTCCCTTCCAACCCCAACCGTTCTGGGATTCTGTGAAGTGCTAGGTTTTGCAGATACTGTGAGGGGTAAGCAAAACGAGGAGATTGCATTTCCACCAACTAAAATCCATGTATTGTGGAGGTCAAGCTGGGACATTTAAAGATCCGCAGGAAGTATTGTATTTCCCTTTCGAATCACAAGTCCACACAAAGCACATTGCTTTCAATGCATGTGCAGATTTCCTGCACTGCTCAGGTTTCCTCTCATTACTTAATTCCATTAAAGTTTGAACCGCGTGGACCTGCATGAGGCTTGTCATTTTAAGATTTAATGCAACACCAGTGCCCTGAAAGACCCGAGCCTTCAGGTGAATTCCTATGGTGTCTTCCTAATAGCTGATACTCCAGTTTTCTTGCTGTGGTGAAGAATTTGAGTTAGAATGGGAATGACTTCCTCAAAGGATGAACGAGGACTAAGTGTGTAGGATTAAGTGTATGTGGGAGCTAAGTGCTGGATCCCTAATGAAGTGAGACTGCCATCTGCATGCAACAAGACGCTGAAATCAAGAATGCGGAGGCAAACGCTGCTCTTCTTAACGAGGGCGTCAAGCCTGGAACTCATACCTACACCACAGGTCAGATGTTGCAGTGATTAATTGGAGCTTTCTCAGAGACGAGCTGTTTGAAATAGAAGGATACATGGGAACAATAAGAATTGGAAAAGAAAAGGGCTGTAACTTTGTACACAGAACAACAGAGCCAAACGTCTGTGCCAAACAAAGATCCAGCTTTAGTGATTTGAATAATGGCAGAAAAAAATGGCCAGGAAGACACACAATCACTCTGCAGACAAAGTCAA